AGGACAGTGTTGATTAGAGTGAAATATTAATGCAAAATTATGCAGGAAAGAGTTCGAGAGTAAAAGAAATAGTGTGATGCTTTGGAAAAATCGAAGATTTCCGGGTGTTGGAACTGTCAAAATTTGGGGAATCTTATTATGTAATGTAATGTGACAGCATTGATCAAGGAAAGATGTTTGTAGGTGAAAAGATGATAGTGACTGATAAATATTACGAGATATCATTTGTTGCTTAATGGTAGGTTGAGAACAATTAATAACAATAATGAACGATAATTGAGATTGCGCGTAAGCGTAAAGTAGTTGAGTTGGGGTTGGAGTATAATTGAGTAATTGAGCTGAGTAACTGAGTTGGAATATTTAAGAATGCTTTACTGCTAGAGAAAAGAAAGAAAATTTTATTTACTGATTTCACGATCTTAAAGAATCCGGTCGTCATACGTATTTTGGTTTTATTAAAGATGTTATAGATGTAACTTGGCTGAGTAAATTTTTTTTTTATTGATGTTGGGCTTAGCAGGAAAATTTTAGTTCAGATCTGAAAATGATCATCTTTTGCTGAAGAGAGAAGTGAAGAGTTTTCCTTTTATACTGAATTGATAGGATTGATGTCAGTGAAGAGATTGCCGAGTGGTTTTACAATTTTTGTGGAATAAATCATCTGCGGTAGGCAAAAAAATAAGATGTAAAGGTCACTCTGTTTCCAGAATAGCTTTTGCCAGTGTAGTCAATTGTATTCATTAGTTATGAGTAATCATTAAATGATGCAGCTAATATAACAATTTATCAGTAATTAATGCATGCAGTAAGATTTTTACAAAGGGATCTCACTAATAATCGATAATGGTTGAACAGCAAGTATAGTGAACATACTTGCTGTTCTCCGTAGTTGTAGCCATTACCGAGTTATCACCATCAAAGAGTAACTTATGACAAATATCAATATCTATAGCAGGTATTGTTAATACAAAAATTTGTTAGCAACAAAGGCGTGCAGCAAAATAGTGTTGCAACAAATATAAGGAACATCCATCTAAATCCAACAGTTTGGATAACTGTAGCGATTTTACATAAATACCTAACAATAATAATAATACCAAATTATGGTTGATATCTCTTCGGCATTTTTCTCTTTTATTTCTGATTATTGTCATTTCCGAAATATATGGTTGTTTTTTCCTCCTTTTTTTAATTGAACAAAAAGTAGACTGCAAAGCATCAGATGACAGGAATTATGCGAACAAATCCGTCGAACTGTTCCACGTTTGTAATCCATTCGACAGAGGTGTTTGTTACATTTCTTGCCATTCATTTTTGATGCTTTCCGGATCGTCAAATCTGAAAAGGAAGTTCCTCAGTTTTATTTTGGACCAAATTCTAAAGTTAATTTCTAGATTTGAGTAAAGTCTTAACTATAATTTCAGGTGTAATGGTCATTGCTAATGGCGGACATCCCAGAAGATGTGAAACTTGAACAACTGTTAGAGTTGAGAGAGCAATTACGGGAGCAAATCGATCAGCTTAATGCGAACACTCCTTTGGAATCATCTAACAACATGCGAAAAATATCCAAGTATCGTCATCCTAACAGATACCAAGCAGGAGCTGTCAATAAAGTTGAAAAACGCCCCAGTTCTTGGACAGTGGATGGTTGCGCTAACGATAAAATTGCAAAGGTCTTGCTTCCAGGCCGTGCGGAAGATGAAAGAAATGATCAGCCCAGTTGCAGTGGTGTGATGAAAAAATCGGATGGGAAAAATCATGGTACTTGGATTCTAGACATTCCGGCAAAATATGGCCAGGATTTGCGTGAGTGTCCCTTTCGACATAAATCGGTGTTATCATCGGATATAACTGACACGGAAGGAAATGAGCCAAAGAAATTCAGCCTGCATTCGGGAATTGATGAAATGACTACAAACGAAGTGCCAAAAACTGAAACTGTTCGCACTACAAAGATTGATGACATACCGGTATTATTTATTTGCTCAATTCGATCCACTTTTTCACCTTCACTGTTTGATAATCCTCTGTCCATAATAAGTAATATAATATGGAAGATGAGTCCCAGTAAAATAGAATGTAGTGGGTAACATTCAAAAAATTAAAATATTTTTTTTCTTATGAATCTGCGATGATATTTGTACTGTGATTTAGACTCTTCTAGAATTTTTCCACATTCTTCTTTTTTTTGCCATCTTTCCATTTCCTTAAGCACTTCTGGTAACAGAAGTAATCTCATTCTGCACCAGTTGTTGGATTTCCCAATTCCATTTTTACTGCGTGTTCCCCAGTATCATGACATTTACAGTTTCAGATGGAAGAGAGAATGGAAGAAATCTCACTGAGTGCTTTAATAGGTTCAATGAAAAATGAAACCGGAAAGGTTCGTTTGTTCTTGTTATTTCATTAGAAACCATCATCATGATTTCTATTATTTTTTCCTTGAGAAGGAGTTTCAGCTCATATTTTGTTATACTACTGTGTGTACTTTTCATGGCAAAACAAATTTTGTTGCGCATCCTTAACAATAAAAGAAGAGTATTTTGCAAAAGATATGCATAACCAATAAGGAAGGTGTCGCTGAAGAACTGGTATATCCATAGGAATTATTGTTTGAAATATGAATCAAACCATAAATCAGATTTAAACTCTTTAGCATTGTTGAGGCAATTAAAAGAATCGGGGGAAATTTCCTTGAATCACTCATAGAATTTGTATAAAAACAGTCGTTTAAATGTTTGAAACAATTCAGTTCATTTTAATTCCTGATATGAGGGTCAAAAGAAGGCACGGAAGAAAAAAAGAGAAACAAATAAGGGATCTCAAACAGTCTCAGCACATTCCGTCGATCATTTATTTTTGCAGACGTTTTGGGTCGGAATTTTGATATCCATTACTTGGATCCTAATTTTGGGAAAAACTTCTGTTTTCGATCATTTTTTCATATTAATTCAGTTCGTTTTGATTTTTGATTCTTAATAATTTTGTTCGGTTTTTCTGAAATAAAATTTCAGGACGAAGGAAGCAGCGCTGTTATTGTCCAGACAGGAAATGCCGTCTCATCAAAGATTACCGAAAACAGTTTTACCATTTTTCCTGAAAAATTAGTGCCTCTACCACCGCCACCACCTCCACCTCTTCCCGCACCATCATTACCACCGCCACCACCACTATGCCAATTTTTGCCGTCAAATGAAATGAACTTAACAAATAATGAGACTGCATTACTGGAAGAGCAGCAA